AAATTCAAAATTTTCAAACTGGAAGTAGAGAAACAATGTGGGAAAAGTATCAAAGTTGTAAGATCTGATCGAGGTGGTGAGTACTATGGAAAATATGACGAGTCTGGTCAAAATATGGGTGATTTTGCAAAATTTTTACAAGAGTGTGGAATAGTGCCCCCAATACACCATGCCAGGGACACCTGAGCAGAATGGTGTTTCTGAAAGACGTAATCGAACTCTAAAAGATATGGTCAGAAGTATGATGAGTAGACAAATTTGCCTGAATATTTGTGGGGTGAAGCCTTGAAAACAGCTATATATATTTTGAACAGAGTTCCAAGTAAAGCTGTTGCAAAGACATCTTTTGAATTATGGACAGGACGTAAGCCAAGTATGGCTCACTTTAAAGTTTGGGAATGTCCAGCTGAGGTTTGGATTTATAATCCATTTGAAAAGAAATTAGACCCTAAATCAACTCCTGGCTACTTTATTGGGTATCCGGATAGATCAAAGGGATATAAGTTTTACTGTCCAAATTGCGGCACTAGAATTGTGGAGTCCATTATTTCTAAGTTTCTGGAGAACGATTTTGGAGATAGTGGGAGTTCCACGTTGAGAGAAATTCTTGTTGAACCTAATCAAGTTGTTGTTCCAGTTCCCATCATATAGGAAAGAGTTGGTTCCCAATCAATTGAAGTTGTTAATGAAGAATCGAGGAACCAGGAGGAATCTCCAATTCCTCAAATAACGATTGAATCGTTTCCTAAGCCACAAGTTAGGAGATCACAAAGGTAAAGAAGATCTGCATTGCCCAATGATTATGTTACATATTTATTGGAGAGCGATTTTAATATTGGGTATATTGTTGATCCTGTAACTTATAATCAAGCATTGACAAGTCCTTTTTTATATAATGGATAGCTGCCATGGAAGATGAAATGAATTCCATGGAAAGGAATAAAGTTTGGGATCTTGTTGAACTTCCTCCAGATGCTAAGGCTATAGATAACAAGTGGATTTTCAAAAGTAAATTAGATTCAAAAGGAAATGTTGAATGAAAGAAAGCAAGATTGGTTGCAAAAGGTTTCACTCAACAAGAGGACATTGATTATGTGGAAACCTTCTCCCCTGTTTCGTCGAAAGATTCTTTTCGAATTATCATGACTTTTGTGGCACACTATAATTTGGAGTTTCATCTAATGGATGTTAAGACAGTATTTTTGAATGGAGATCTTTCTGAAATGGTTTATATGAAACAACCTGAAGGTTTTGTTGTAAAAGGAAAAGAAAACTTGGTGTGTAAGTTAAACAAATCCTTATATGGTCTCAAACAAGCATCTCGACAGTGGTATTTGAAGTTTGATGAGGTTATGACATCTCTTGGTTTTGTTAAAAATACTATTGATCAATGCATTTATCTTAAAACTAGCGGAAGAAATTTTATTTTCCTTGTACTGTATGTTGATGACATTCTGCTTGCTAGCAGCAACTTAGGGTTGCTTCATGAGACAAAGAAAATGTTGTCTGCTAATTTTGAGATGAAAGATCTTGGAGAAGCTTCTTATGTACTTGGCATTGAAATACATCGTGGTTTATTCGGACTTTCTCAGAAAACTTATATACGACATGTTCTAGAAATGTTTAATCTGCAGAATTGTACCTATCATAAAAAGAGATAAATTTAATAAAACTCAATGTCCAAGGAATGAGCTGGAAAGGGAGTCTATGAAGATGATCCCACATGCTAGTGCTGTGGGAAGCTTGATGTATGCTCAAGTTTGCACTAGACCGGATATAGCCTACGCAGTAAGTGTCCTTAGCAGATTTCAGCCTAATCCAGGACAAGAGCATTGGAAAGCAGCTAAGAAAGTTATTAGATATTTGAAGAAAACTGAAAGTTATATGCTTACATTCTAGCGTACAAATCATCTTGAGATGGTAGGATATTCAGATTCTGATTTTGTTGGATGTCAAGATGATTTGAAATCAACCTCAGGTTACATTTTTACATTAGTTAGTGGTGCCATTTCTTGAAAAAGTGCTAAACAGACTCTAGTGGCATCTTCTACTATGCAAGCTGAATTTGTGGCATGCTATGGGGCTACAGTCCAAGCCGTTTGGTTAAGAAATTTCATCTCTGGCTTGAAAGTTGTTGATTTCATCTCAAGACCGATCACCATCTATTGTGATAACAGTGCAGCAGTATTCTTTTCAAAGAATAATAAAATTTCTGGTGGATCAAAACATATTGATATCAAATATTTGGTTGTTAGAGATAGAGTCAAAGAAGGGCAGACGAAAATAGAGCATATCAATACAGAGGCGATGGTTGTAGATCCCTTAACTAAGGGACTCGCTCCAAAAGTCTTTTCTACATGTTACTAATATGGGTATTGTGGAAACATTTGATATTTTTGGTTAGTGGGAGTTATTTATGTAAAAAACTACGTTTTGGGCTTGATTGCTAAGTTCATACCACATACTATCACTCATACCACATACTATCACATTGGTTGGAGGATGGGGATCCATGTCGATAAGGATGTTGACATTTATAGCTGTGGAATGGTCTTACATCTTTTAAATTGGTGTAATGACTTCCATGTTCGGTATTAATATTCTTGTTGGACCGGATCATGTTACGTAAGGTGTCATCATTGAAACTATACTTTTGTGGCCACCTATGTAGTCCAACCCAGGTGTTAAAACTTTGTTATGGCAATCAAATGTTTGCCCAAGTGGGAGAATGTTGGAATAATTAATAATTCCATATGTGGGCTTCACATTCGATTGTAAAATTTTACGGGTTAGATATATGGCTCATAATGATATTTGTGTTTGTGCCAAATTTATTAAGTGATCAATTGAGCCTTTTACACCTTACGGATTGTAATTAATTTGATGTGGTAATTTAAAGTATGTGGGCCGGGAAATAAACCCTAATTAGAATTCTAGTCGTAATGGGACGGCTCAAATTATTTCCTATATATAAAGGCTAGGTCCCCTCTCCTCTCCATATGTTTTTATTAACTTGCCCCATTGATAGCTAATATTTTTGTGAGGAGCAAGGAGGAGAAGATTTTGGCTGCTATTACTACAATTATTCATATCAACAATGGCTTCCGCATGTATGAATTCGATTTATCAATTTATTATTATGTGATTCTTGTTCTTAGCATGATTACAATAAAATTCAACATATTTTATCAACATTTATCAAAATTTACTAAAAATCTAATTTTAATCACTGTCAAACAGTAGTTTAATCACAACTTCGTTTCTAGGTCCCATTTAGAAGATTATATGATTTTGTACTGTAATTTTTATATTAGCTCGACTCTAACACCTCGCGCCATATTTTAATTCTTGAAATAAAATTAGTTAGATTACATCACAGTAAATGGTGATGAACTTGGACTTGTTTGAGGATTAACATATTGTCCTCTCTATTGTTCTTTGTTCCATGTCTACAGTCTAGAGACATAGATATAATAGTTTGGCTACATTCATAAAATGTATGTGTTGGAAATTGAGAACTTTTTCAGTTTATAAGAAAGAGAAGGGAATAAATTTATAATATATACCTTTAATAATAGCTCTTTTTCTTATGGAAAAATGTTTATTATAAGAGCATAATTAATAAATATTATAATAGCTTTGTTGGTTAAAGCACTTGCGATTCCAATTACGAGAAACGGAGGAAAAGAAATTCCTTTTTATTTTACGAGGAAAAGAAGGGAACCAAAAAAATTCTATTGCAAGAAGTGTGTTTGTTCCCTTACTCTTACATGAATATGTGCACACTTATAATTTACACATCGAATAATATTGAACTTGCGATAGAGCACGGCTAGGATTATAGAAAAGATAAAAATTAATAGACGATAAACAAATGATCTAACTCTGGAGAACAAGACTCTTTCCAAGAATAATGTCGTCTGTCTCGAAATCAGCTTCTTTCCTAAATGTCCCCCGACCAAAGTCTAGGTTGTAAGAATCTGCAAGACCTTCCACTAGGTTGAATTCTGGTTTCCACCCCAGCACACTCTTTGCCTTTTCGATTGATGCAAAGAAATGCTGCATTTACATCAAGAAAATTTAAGATTTTAGATATTAAAATAAAGAAGGAAAGCTTAACGTAATGAAATCTGCATTTCAGCAAAGATTGATAAACGCGAAAAACCTTCAATTTTCGACAGCCTTATTGATTTCATTAGCAGATTTTCGCTGTTTTAAGATTATTCATTACTTCTAGATAGAATGTTTTATTAGTGGCTGTGGAAATAAAAATTCAAGATCTTGTTAAGAGATTCACAATCAAAAGCCAAGATTTTCGCATTTGCATTCCTTTGAAAATGCAGCATAAATGGTTTTGCTAGAAGAATAAAATCAGGTAGTTATATGATAATTATCACCGGTGCATCAAAAGTTGATTGGATAATGAACTAAGGGACCTACTACGACGCGATGATCATCGAGTAGCATTACTCTTTCCGAGAATGCTTGCAACTAGTTACCGCAGAAGCGCACTTTACTTAAAGAAAAAACTTCGATCGAATTACTTTTTTCATTCTTGTGATGATCAACCATGTCATCTGCTAATAATGATTGCAATGTCCATTTCACATAAAAACCCTCACAAATTTGTGGTGAGCAGAGATGTCTAATATCGTATAACTCTGTGACTTTCGATAAGCATATGTACACAAATTTACCTGGTCTCGGAAAGGAAATGATTTCTTTTTACCAAAATCAAACTCCTTGGGGTTGTAGTGAATAATTTCAGGCTCAGGGAATCCAGCAGCCTGTTAGAAATATACAGAAAAATCATTTCATTGTCAGTAATCTGAAAGACACTCTCATCTTTCAGGAATACGCTTATTGGTCAGACCTACCTTAGCGCACGCCTTAGCTAACCCATCAAAGGTAACATATTTCTCACCGGAGATGTTAAATATTTGCTTGCTTGCCTTTTCATTCCCAAGAACCTGAACAAAGGCCTTCGCCAGATCCTGAAATTTTAATGGAACAACATAAAAATCTGTTCCACTTGCAAATACATAAAAATTCAAGTCTCACCATCACCTATTTGTGAAAATTGTGCATATATGAGGCCATTGAAGAAAAATGAATGTGTCATGCATGAGAAGATCGTGTTAAACAATTTAAGCTTTTTAGATGAGGCAGTTTAACATGAGGGAGAGCAGTAACGAAGCCATATATTGAAGCTATTAAATCACCTCGAGTAATGAAGAAACGTTGGTGAACGAATTATCAAACTTCCAAACTAGATTGCCGTGTGGAAGTCCCAAATTCAGTTCTAGGCAAAATGTAAAAGGTGTAAGTATTATGCCCAAGGTCCAATCGACTTTGGACATAAATACTTTTATATATAATTAATGCAATTAAATGGCAGATCTATTATTTAATTAATAGACAATTAAATAAATAATAGAGTCCGTAGATTCAAATATTTGTAATTTGTTAATCACAAGGAGTTGTGATTGTGAGATATAAATTACATCAGATTGAATCTTAAATCATCCGTGGTCGTAAGTAATAACGAGATACGGATATCGTTATTACGGATAGACCATCACGTGTGGCATTTCTTACTTGTGAAGTAAGTAGCTGATCTCACAAGTTAAAGTGTGGTGACACTTAAATGAACACGTGGATGTTTGTTATAGAACAAAACATTGGAGACCCGTCGAGAGATTCCACATGGATAACTATCTGAGTGTCGGTGGTTAATCTCTAACGTTCGGTAGTGAAATTGGTCATTTGACTTGAGGTCGTCATGGTACCTTATATGAGGACAGTCATACTTTGACGGTGTTGGATGTTGCTCTGAAAAGGGCCGCTAATACGACATCGTTCGGGTACGTCAAGAATCGTATGAAGGTTGTGATTGATCAATAAAGGATTCGTCACTCTTAGATAGTAGGAGATTATGATCTGCATTTCATTCAATTAAGTCAATGATGAAATCCTTGGCCAAGGTGTACTCATAAGTCGAAAAGGAGTTTTCGATTTATATTGACTTAATAGTGGAGTGAAAGATATGATCGATGATTGAGATTGACACAATTCCATATCTCGTAATTGATCGGATCATATTGACGAAGGGATTATAGTTTCACGGTAAACGAACGAATTTGGTTTTGTCATACCACGTGACATTTCCCGTCACATGTATTGCCCTGACACATTGCTAGATATCAATCAGGGACAGCGAGTGTGAATTGACGATAAATTAAAAGGGTGTTTTAATTTATCAATTTTGATTAGATCAAAATAATATTTCACGTCGTTAGGCATCGTGGTCGGGAACCTAATGGGTCACACACAAAAGAGAATTGGAA